GGTTCCGTATTTATATCACTGACCGTACTGTATGCAGTGTTCCTGCTGAGTCAGGGCTTCTTGTCTATGTTCGTGGATTCCTTTGGTTTCAAAAGACGTTTTTACATGATCGAGAATGTCTAGACACAGTGTTACATGCTGATTTCTTGGTTATGAGATGATAATATTTCTAATAATCATTACATAAAGGAACAAAAACTACTGGTGTAATACATCACTTAGAAAACCGGAAGGGTGGGGGTATGATAGGTTGTACGTTAATCTGTCAGTCGGGGGCTGTTATGAAAAGCTGTACTAACTTTTTCAGAACAAAACTGCATGTGTCCATTTTACTCCAATACAGTCGTGTAAGATGAGACGGGATAGCGCAGGCGGTATAGCGACTGGCTGCGGACTGGACGATCGAGGGGTCGGAGTTAAGTCCCGGTAGGGTCAAGAATTGTCTCTGGGGCCCAAGTCTCCTATCCTATTTCCTCAGGTGTAAAGCGGCCGGGGAGTGAAACTGTCCACTCACCTCCAGGTATTGCAGAGGTCAAGAAAATGTGGATCTATACATCCACTCCCCCATACGCCTTCGTGGCGTTGTGTTTAATTAGTTACACAGGGACAACTTTACCTTTTTTAAGGTCGGGTTATTTACATATAACTAGTCCATGGTGAAAAACTATTTTTGAAGGAATTGCGCTTTAATATTTTGAAAACGCATTTCTGAAAATATAACGGTCTAGAAAACCGAGATTAATGGCCGTGGGGATCCGTTGCGCTGACCACGTGACACCCTCTATCCGCAAAAGTTGGCACTAACTTCGCCGACAAGCGGGTTTCTCTCAGTCGGTCGGTACAGTTCGCTTGCGGACTACAGGCCACGGAGTTTGTTTCTGTTTGTTTATTTCTGAAAATATTCAGCTCATACTTATAATTCTTGGCGTTAGATGCTGGCCAATTACATATGCGATAAGAAAATATTTTTTCTCTGGAAATATTAGTCACTAGTCCAGAGAAGAGTAGACAGTAGACACACACAGAGTGGGAAAAAACAACGTGCGGTGACTCGCCATTAATGGGCCCGGATTTACAGTTGTAGGGCCTCGAGGCAGTAACAAAGTGGAGTCCTTTATTAACACCAACAAATTTAGGTTACAATTTTTTTTGTTCTTATTTCTTGTAATAACTAAATATACAAACTATTTTGTTGTTGTTGTGATTTCAGAGAATCAAATGTCTCAGTACAATATGCAGATTCTTTCTGTTTTGTGGAAGCCACGGAGTGACCGCCACGGTAGCCCCCATCCTTTAAATCTGGCCCTGGTCATTAATAAGATTAATCCAGAGATAACTGACAGCGGGACACAAAGGGACACATCACATCATCCGTTCCGAAGACAACAACTGCCTGTCCCAGTTACGAGAGCATAATAAGGAATTCCACGTTTTGTATATGATTTTCGTGTCAGCTGTCAACCTTGAGGTCCAGTATAATTTAATGTCACTGTGTCAATTACTAAAGACGATTCAGCAAACTTTTCGGGCAGGAAATTACGTCAAGTAAATTTCTAAAGTGTAAATATGATAGCAAGCAATATCTACTACTTATTTCGTACTCATAACCAAACAGGAATTTTCTTTGGGATAATAACACAATAAATGTTCAATCGCCAAAACATACAAATTACTGTTTTACTGGATTTAGAATTTACCGTATTTACGCATGTATAGGCCGCACATTTTTTGCCAAAAATTCAAGAGGAAAACTGGGGTGCGGCTTATATTCGAAATATTCGAAATCACACTTGATTTAA